TTTCACGCGTTGCGTTGCGGAATACTAATCGCCGTGCTGCCGTTTCTTATCATTGACACGAATGGGGACGATCCTCCTCACGTTGGCCTTTGTCGCATTTTTTTTTTATCGTGAATTCGTATTTTTTTTTTATGTAGTGTAAAGTTAAATGTGGATGGATTGTTATTTAGTTTCTGAAGGAATTATAGGCACGTAGGTTCCGTGATCAGTGTCGGTAAGCTTGGGTGGTAAATAAAATCGGAGCGACTTCGATTAACGATTCTGACTCGGTTTCACCGGCACATTGTACATTCTAACTATTACAAGCCGACCTGCCAAGCGTTCGACCGTTCCAGCCTTGGCGACTGGTTGCTTTAATCGTGAAGCGAAATTTTATGAGCTTTCATCTTCGCGTGGTGAACTGTTTCCTCGGAGTGATGTTTTTTTTTTGATTTAGACAATCTCGAAATGTCATTTCTTTCCATCATTTCTTTCTCAGATGATTCAGAGAATTGTATTTAAACTTGTTGCATGGTATAGATATTTTTCTTATTCTTTTTGTGGTATATATATATATATAATTTTTTTCATATTTTTTTCTTTATTATATCGAATATTTCAATTTGATGCATTTCTAAATTTTTTCTTTTTTTTCTTTTTAAAAAAAATTTCCATAAAGTTTGAATTATATAAGACTAAAAAGTGAAATGGAATTCATGTAAACCTTTATTCTTCGCATTATTTCCTATCTTAATTGTTTGTTTGTCAGAATTGCAGCGTAATTAGTTTCGTAGACTAGTTTTATGCATTGCTCAAAATAATGTTACCGTTGTAACGCAAAGCCAGTTAAAGAATACTTAAAACTTTAAATACATTTTTATTATTGAACATAACGTTATTTTATCGATTCAACACGATTGACTTGTAATCTCTTCGTTATATTTGTCACGTACAAATAATAAAATGCTTCGCTCGATCTAACAACATGTTCATACATTCTAATTACAAAATATTAAGATCCAGGACTATTATATACTACCAATGAAAATCATACTTTTATTTTAATTCTCATATTATTTCGAACGAAATAATCATTATTACTTTTCCTTTTATTTATATATATATTAAAAAGCAAATGGATTTAAAAAGCATTGGATTTCTTATATTGAATATTCAATATGCTATTTTTAATCTTATCAATACGTTAATCTTATCGATACCTTATTTATTATAAATTACGCGATAGTTATTTTGAAATATTGATTTCTCGAATCGTATAATATGAATATATTTTTTAGTTAAATTTTTTAGTTTAGCAGTTGAAAATTTAAAAAAAAAAATATTTCAGAAAATATTTAATACATATAAAATTTAATATCTGATCATCGTATCGAAAAAAATATTTTTCAATAAACAAAAAATATTTATCCTTTTTATTCGAGTTTATTTTTCTCAAATTTAATATTCTTAACGCGTTATAAAAACCTCTTGGATCGATGATTAGATTTAGGATAACGAACGAGAATAACATCCGTAGAGCGTTTCCAATCGTGCCATTTACTCCTCTTAATATGTAAAGTTCGTTCGTCGAATGCTTCTTGTTGCATCGGTAACGTGATTAACTGTTTGAAATTCATAGAACATACAGTATCTCAAACGAGCAACGCTCTTTATACATTTTTTTTTTCGTCATTAGTGCGATACATACAAATGATTTAAACATTGAATACAGATGAAACTGGCATGGCTTCTTCGCGTAGATGGTTGTTCTCCCTACCACAGGAAGCAACGCGTACCTCAAACAGGCTTCTATCTTCGTATCGCGATTAAACATAGAAAAAAAAAGAAAAAAAAAAAAATTGAATAATTTAATAAGATTCAAGTTTGTCAGTCTTCACTCGGGTGAACACTGTGTTGTATATCCTTATAAACGAATACTATGAAATGCTATACTAGGAAATGCTTCCTCTTCCATCGAAATCTTTTAATTACATTCGGATAGAGCGTGATTTATAATTCATTATATTTTCAAATTTTACGTTAACATGATTAGATTTACTCGTTGAAACGATTCACTTTGAAATTCGCGTACGAGATAAGTACTTTCAACTCGATAAAGGATAAAAGTGAATGATCGAGTAATTAATTATATGTTACAGGAGAGGAAAATGATTTTACGTCGGATGGAGAAGAGAGTGGCGGTGCAGGAGCTGGCGGAGACGAAGCCGTGGACCTCACGGCTGCCAGGTCTCATCAAGACGAGGATGACAAGGATCAGGAAGACGTTTTGGAGGAGGATGAGGAGGAAGGCGTGGACGAGCAGGACGATCAAGAGGACGACGAGGAAGGATCGAGGAAGCAAATGCATCATAGGCAGGATGCTGAGAATAACAATAATTTCGTGGAAGGTGGGACACCGGCCGGCTTATTCCCACCGGCTGGAACTAGTCACGTCACCTTGGAAGCCCTTCAGAACACGAAAGTGGCGGTCGCTCAGTTCGCAGCGACAGCGTTGGCCGGTGGCGCGGACACCGAGGCTGCTCTCCAAGATTTGGCGCTGCTGCAAAGCACCCTGTACACCCTGCAGCATCAACAAGTGTTCCAGTTGCAGTTGATCAGTCAACTCCAGCAGCAACTCTCCATAACGCATAATCAAACGGTGCAACAGCAAGCACCGGGCGAGCCGTCGGACAGCAAAGAGATATCACCTTCGCCGATCATTCAGCCCAAACCTTTATCGAGCCTTACTTCGCCTCCCTCGTCGCGCCCGCCGAGCCACCAGCAAACCTCGCCAGCTCCGATGACGCCCAACCTCGCCCAGGAACGGCCCACACCGACCAGCAGCGCGTCCCCGTTGAACCTTCCCCTGGCTTCGACGAACGCGACAGGCACGACCGCGACCACCAGCACCAGCAGCCAGGTGCCTATGTCTCATCAGATTCCGCCTCTCTGCTCGATCAGTTCTTCCTTAGCTTCGTCGATAATAACCAACACCGATCCCCCACCGTTGCACGAGCCGAATACCCTGGAGATGCTGCAGAAGAGAGCCCAGGAAG